TTTTATGATTAAAAAAATTAAAAAATATAAATTTAAAAAAATTAAATTTATAAAACATAAATAATATTAAAAAAACTGAAGCACTTAAAAATAATTTCAAACATGCCCTTAATATTCACAAAAACAAAAGCAAAATAAAAACTAGGCCCTTTTTTTCATTCATTACCGCGTGTGGACCGGGTAGGGGAATTTGGATATATATTCTCGTTTTTAATACCGTGTCAAATAATCATTGTCCAATGATATGCTACTAAAATGGTTGTCCGCAAGACTTTCTCATCATCAACCCGTCACTTTCCTGCGTTAAATTATTAACCACTTTATGTCTTCCACCAAAAGCTTTCCTCTCCTTGCATTCTGCGTACTAATTAGACTCTGTTACCTTTACCTTTGTATTTTAGTCTCTGTTTCTTCTTTGAAACAGAGATTCCATTACATGTAAAACCTCAAGAACTTTCGTATGAGAACGGAGAAAACATTTTCACCTTTTAGTCTTTTTCAACGAAAGTAGCCAATTTTGGTCTATTCCTGTGGGGGAACTTACTCTCTTGTCTTGATTTCCATTTGATTATTTAGCTTCACAAGCTCTGAATTTTCATAGAATTTCTATATTCCACATACCAACAAAACTACAGAATTTGAGAGATACAGAGGGAGGAGAGATGGGGGGAGAGGAAGACGAAAGATCAATCGAAGTAACCCCAACGTGGGCAGTGGCTACAGTTTGTTTCATCTTGATTTTGATCTCCATCATTATAGAGCATTTGCTTCATCTTTTAGCTAAGGTATGTCATGTAGCATAAGCATAATATCACTATGCATGAAGTTGAAACGCAAATCTTTTCTTCATGTCAATTGATTTTTCATTTGTTTCTGGTGAATTCGGTTTCAGTATTTTCATAAGAAAAGAAGGAAATCGCTCTTACAAGCTCTAGACAAGGTGAAAACAGGTCAGTAATAAAAGTATTCCTTTTCAGTCGCCAGCTTTTTTTCTTTTATCTCCATTAGTGTTAGGACTTGACGTTGTTTCTATCATTTTGTGTAGACTTGATGCTGTTGGGGTTCTTGTCATTGTTGCTAACAGTGGGCGAAAAGCCAATTGCAAACATATGCATCCCAAAGGGTGTAGGCGAAACGTTTCTCCCCTGCAACGTTTCTTCAGTTTATCGTGAGGAAGAAGACAAATGTAAACATCAGGTACTCCCTAAATTCTCTAGCTATACCTGTTTGTAACTAGCGTTGACGTACATACTAATGTTTGTTTTTTCTATGAAACAGGGAAAGATGTCTTTGATGTCCAGAACAGGTGTTAGGGAGCTCCAGTACTTAATCTTTGTGCTAGCTTTATTCCATTCTTTATCATGCATCCTCACCTCCAGTCTTGGCATGGCAAAGGTAAATAATTTCTTTTGCTCATTAGGCCTAGTTGAGTTTTTGAGGAAAGTTTTTGCCAGTCCTGACGGGCATAAAAACCAGAATGAAAAAACAGCGTTCTTTAGGGTTTTTTCTGAAATTTTTGTAACATGAAATTGCATAGAATATTGTCAAACCATGAATTGTATAAAATATTTGAGCATATAGTCAACTTTGATGCTTAAAGATCTTTCCTTCAAAGTTTCCTCTTTTCCCTTTGTTCTTGCAAACTATTGGTGGGTGGCGTTTTCTGTTGGCAACTCCTGAGTTTTACTGTATAAATAAAAAAATAGAGTATTGAAAGCAGGTTCCATTCAAGAGGAGAAAAAAATGAACTTTCATGAATTGAGAGTTTGAAGAACGTGAATTTTTGACGAACTCAATTATTTTCTGAAGAAAGTTGAACCCAGTGATTGACAAAATTGGGATTTTGTTGAAGAAAGTTGTGTGGGAAATTTTGACTTGTGTTTGACAAAAACAAGACTTTTTTTTTTTTTTAATCTTAAACCATGTTGCAGATGAGGAGGTGGGAATCTTGGGAGGCAGAAACAAGAACCGTAGAATATCAATTCTTAAATGGTAAGCTTTAAGAATATGCACAACTTTTTGTAGGTGGTTTTCCTATTCACTAAAAAAACCCTGCTTAAAGTCAATGAACTGAAAACAGGACTTTGTTCTTTGTTTGCACTGTTATTTTTTCATTTAATTACTTTGTAGATCCTAGGAGGTTCCAGCTTATCCACCAAACTTCCTTCGGGAGACGACATCTAAAGTTTTGGAGTGAACAAAGGATACTACGTTGGCCAGTAAGTAAAAGGAATTATCACTAACTTGCAATACTCAATTCTATCAACTTGATCCTTGATAGTGTCTATTTGAACAATTTTCGCAGGCATGTTTTATTCGACAGTTCTTTGAATCTGTATCCAAAGTGGACTACTTAACTCTCAGACATGGATTCATAATGGTAACACAAATAAAAACATAACCTTTTGAAGTAAAACATAGATTTGATGCATTGCTTCAGTTTAGGATGAATATTTTCTGGTTGTTTTTGTAGGCTCATTTTGATGAAGGAAGCAATTTTGATTTCCAGAAGTATATAAAGAGAGCTTTGGAGAAAGATTTCAATGCAGTTGTTGGAATAGGGTATAACTAACTAACTAAAAGATACTAAGTCCATAGATAATTTGATGTTGATTTTTTTATCCATCTCCACTGTTAAGCTTAAAAACAAAATCTTTCATCTTTACAGCCCCTGGGTTTGGATCTTCGGTGTCGTCTTCATATTCTTCAATGCACACGGTATAACACCAAAACCATCATCATCAAAACTCTTTACATTTGGGAAGTCTAAGCTAGCTTAGTGGTTGTAAAGAATTTCATTGATTCAATTTGTGCAGGATTTCATAACTATCTCTGGCTTCCTTTTATTCCCTTAGTGGTAAGTATAGTTTCAACACCAGAACTCAGAGCTACCAGGACACAAAGCTGTTGGAAAATGAAACAAAATGGAAGAATAATTAATTAAGTTCCTCAAATTTCACAGATGTTGCTGCTGGTGGGAACAATGCTCCAAGGCATCATAACCAAAATGTGCCTAGACAGCCAAGACAAGTCCCAAGTTGTAAGAGGAGCATTCCTTGTTAGACCCAGTGACCATTTTTTCTGGTTCGGCCGGCCGGAATTGCTTCTCCACCTCATGCACTTCATACTGTTTCAGGTGAGTAAATTTCTCACATTGGGTGTCTTAAAGATTTGATCTTTCCAATTCAACCACTTCATGCTAAAAGCATTTTAACCATTTGCAGAATTCTTTTCAATTAGCATTCTTCACATGGACTTGGGTAGGCGTTTTTCACTTCATCTTTGGATTCTTCTTCCTTTTCTTCTTCCATTTTTATTTCTCAATTTTCTCACTCTGAATGAAAATTATGCAGTATAAATTCGGACTGCACTCATGCTTCCATCGAGCAAATGAGGATATTGTAATTAGACTTGCAATGGGGGGTCTGGTACAAATTCTGTGCGGCTATGTAACTCTGCCTCTATATGCACTGGTGACCCAGATGGGCACGTCGATGAAAAAAACTGTCTTCCCGGAACCGGTCGTCGAAGGTCTGAACAGATGGCAAGCCACCGCCAAGAAAAACCTAGCCCTGAGAACCACTGTTTCCCACCCCCCCTCTCTGGACACTTCACTTTCCCTCGAAAGTACGCCCTCTTTCAGCCTTGACGCCTCGTTCTATGCACCATTGGAACCTCCGTTCGAAAACGCAAGACCCGCCGGTGAAATAACGGAAGAGGAGAAAGGGAGAAGACAGCCGGAAGGGCATCAGAAAATGGGCTCCTTTCATGGGTTTGATGTGGGCAACAACATGTGAATATGGGCCTTTTGTTCTATAATGGATAAATAGTTACTCATAAATATGGGCCCGCCTCTCTGTTGGGCCAGATACATTATATCGGCTCATAATGTTTTCCTTCTTGTTTTCTTTTAGCTCTTAGTTCATATTAATTTTCTTAATTGATATAAAGACTTAGATTGAATTATTTTTGTGCCCTTAGCGATGATTATATAAATTTTCTAAGCAAAATTAATGCGAAAAAAGTAGTATATTTGTTGATTTTAATTTATGCACTTAAGATTGTATAAGATAGAAAAATTAATGGAAGTGGGCTTTTGATTTAGGCTTCATTTGAAAAGGTTAGGATGCAATTGTGTTTGTAAATTTTTCAGTCTTTTTAATACATCAAAAACATTTAAAAATATAGTTAGTACAAAAAATTATTTTCAATTTAGATTTTATAAAATTACGAAATATTAACTATTTATGAATAGATGATAACGACCCATGATAATGACTTCACACCATTTTATTTAATAGTTATTAACTTATTATTTTATAGCCCATTATAATTTAAATTGTAAAATATCAAATATTATTTAATATATATTTTAATTAATATGTATATTTTTAAGATAATAAAAAGCCAAAAGAACCTAAAATCATAGCAAGATATGATGTTTCTAAACGAAGCCTTACATTTACACGGTTAAGATAATAAACGAATTCACACAATTATAAACCTTGCGTGTAATCTCATATATTCATAATTATATTTTAAGATTTTCTATTATGTATTCTTAAGACACAATTTAAAAATATTTTTTATTATAAAAATTAATATTAATTTTAATTTTAGTGTTAGATAAGTAAATTTAATTAAATAATTAGTAAATTAAAAATTAATTTTTTAATATAAATTTATAATAAAGAGATATATTTAATATATTTTTAAATTGTATTTTTTAAAATACATGTTAAACACACCTAATAAATATTAAGGTTCTGCATCCATACACGTAAGACACTTATGAATTATGATTATTTGATCTGAAAATATTTTTTCGGTCGAAATCGAAAAGGACATTTCTGGTGTGATATTCACTTCACTTTCCGTTTTAGTGGATAAATTACTACTTGGAATTATTTGAACCCAAGGGTTGCATTAGGTAGGAGACGACAATGGACGAACCAACCATATCAAATTTCAAAGTAAACTCTACCTTTTTAGGTCATGAAGCTTACAAATTACCACACAAATTAATGGTGTGTGATTGGTCCCCGCCCTACATCAATTATTATCAAAACTTCGTTCTGTATAGTTTTAATTTTTAATTATAATGATTTTTTTATACATTTTATAACATATTATTATTATTATTGATATTAGGATTTTTTAATTTTTAATCACTACAAAAAATAGTAAATAAATCCTAAATTTATTATACGCCCTACAAAATTCTTTATATTTGCAATAGCATCAAGACCAACCCTGTGTTTGACCCAAGTCCACGTCACCCAATTCCTATTTATTTAATGGTAGAGAAGTTGCGTTTGTAATTGCCATCTCACAACATTTTTCTCACGTAGCAATTTATTAAGAGTACTGAAACACGTATAGTTTTTTTATATAATTTTTTTTATATAA